CAAACCCCTGTTCCACCAAAAAAAAAAAAAAAGAAAAACAACTTTTGGGGAAAAAGATAGAAAAGGAAAACATCACCTAGGAATCCATTTTTACCACGTTGGCTTGTGTTCTTCTAGTCTCCCCAGCCCCCATTTGTGAATTGTTCTTCCTTCCTGCCTTCCAACAATGCTATAATCATATAGTCATACTATATATAAAACTGATAGCTAACTTATCAGCAGACCTTGGACTGCTTTGAATACATTATTTTCTGTTTTTATTTATAATTATTTTATTTTAGCATACAGTTTCACATCATCTTTTTTTTTCATGTTGCAGTAATATTTCTTCCAGTGGAATATTTCTCTGTTCCTCAAATTATTAGACTTTTAAGCTGTTTTCCAGCTTTTGCTGTTATAAAGAACTTTTTTATTTCTGGCAGTACTGGGGGTTGAGCTCAGGACTTTTGCTAGGCAGGCACTCTACCACTTGAACCACTCTGTCAGGCCTTTTTGTGTTGGTCATTTTAGAGACAGACTCTCACATTATACTCAGGCCTGCCTGGCCTCCATCTTATTTGTGCTTCCCCAGGTAGCTGGGGATGACAGCTACACGCCACCACACCCAACTGTTGATGGAGATGGGGTCTTGTGAACTTTTTGCCCAGGCTTTCCTCCCGATCTCTGCCTCCCAAGTAGCTAAGATTAGAGGCTTAAGCCACTGAGCATGGCCTTTTATAAAGAACTTGGATGATACATTTTTTCCCCTGAAACAATTTCCTAAGGTTTATGCGTTTAGGATAAATTCTGGAAGTAGGATTACTGGGTCAGTGAGTATAAACACATTGCCAAGTTGCTTATTTTAAACTATGCAGAGCGCTTTCCCATGCACGGACTAATGTGAGGGGCACCTCAGGCAACTCTGAGGTAGGTGAGAGGTTCACTACCATGTGACACATGAACACGGGGAGCTATTTTCCCAAGGCCACACAGATGCAGGAGAAGCCAGAGAGCCACAAGTAAAATGCACATTTCCTAACTCTCTGGATTTCCCCTAAAATGACATGAAACTCATGCCCGACTGTCCCTGCCTCTTCCCCTCCCAGTCTTCATAGCCTGAACCCATGAGAGCTTTTCCATTACATTGCCTTTTCCTTTCACTGGGGACCATTCTGTTTGGAGGGAAAGTAAGAGCTCCCTAGCAGCCAAGGACCACACATGGGGGAAAGCTTCTACTAAGCTAAAGAGGACAAAGGGTGAGAAGGGAAAGGAACAGGAGAAACAAAGTGGATCGGGCTACATTAGGATACAGGACAGGAGCCAGGAGGAGGCATACAAAGAGCAAAGAGGAGAAACTGGGTTGGAGGACCTGGAAGCTTTCTTAAGGAGAGGTGTTTGGCAAGGGGATTGGACTTTGATCATATGATGAGGTGAGAGCACAAAAGGGAGGTATGAGGATAGGCAGGAACCGCCCCCCCCTAAAAAAACCAAACAAACAAGATAGCATTTGATGTCCTCAATGCAAAGGAACTAATGCAGAAACTTTAAAGTGACAGAGGCCAATAGGAGAAGGGGATGGGGAACTAGAGAAAAGGTTAGTTCGAGAAGAATTAATTTAGAAGGTAACACACATGTACAGCAATGCAAGTCAATTCTCTGTATAGCTATCCTTATCTCAACTAGCAAAAACCTTGGTCCTTCCTATTATTGCTTATACTCTCTCTACAACAAAATTAGAGATAAGTGCAAAATAGTTTCTGCCTGGTAGCGAGGGGGTAGGGGGGGTGAGGGAGGGGGTGGTGTGGGGAGAAAACAGAGGGGGGAAGAGAAAGGGGGGAGAAATGTCCCAAACATTGTATGCATATATGAATAAAAGAAATTTAAAAAATAAAATAATGAAAAAAAAAGGAGAGGTGTTTGGGCTGAAGGCAGTAAAAGGATTTGAGTGAGGGTCGTGGTGTGCTTGCTGTTTAATCTACTTCTGGATATCAAATCACTTTCTCAAGGTAAAAACTAAGTAATCATTTGTGTTTTCTCTTTTCTGTTTATTTTTCAACTGAATGATCACAAAATAACTTCAGATGAGTGTTGTTCCACCACAGAAGAAAGTAAGTCCTGCATCTCCCAACCTAAACCATGTGTAGCGGGAAGCGAGCCCAGTTTTTATGGCAAGGTACAAAGGGAAAGCTGTCCCCCAGTGCAGAAGCCCAAGGCTTCAGTGGCGCCTACAGCTAATGGTGTTACGCTCCCCCATGAACAACCTCTGGCAAGGGATGTTGCTCCTGAAAAGGATGCCACAGGACCCACAGAGAAGACTCAGCCTCCAGAGGGACAGGAGGAGCCTGAGCCACATCAGCCATCTGGCACAGATGATACCCTAGGAGCAGAAGAAAAGAAAGATGGGGAACCAGCCACAGAGGCTCAGCCTGAAAAGGGGAACCCTGAGTTGGAACCTTTAGGAACAGAAGCCAAAGGTCAGGCTTCGAGGAGAGCAGGACAAAGGGACTCCCCTGGAGCAGAACATCCTGAGGATCCACAAATGGCTGGAGTCATGAAGCTAGGAGCAGCTGAGAATATTCCACCTCTGGAAACAGTGAGAGAGCTACAACCTCAGGAAGCAACAGGAAAAGAGGAACAGTCCCAGCTTCTGGAAGTAATTCCCGAAGAGAACAGATCTCCAGAAATACTGGAAGGAAGTCAGTTTGTAGAAAAAGGTGAAGTGCAGAAACTTCAAGAAACTTTGGGAAAAGATGAGCAGTCCCAACTTCTAGATACAATTTCCAGAGAGAACAAGTCTCCAGAAGTATCAGACAGAAGTCAATTTGTGCAAACACCTGTCATGAATGATCCACTCCATAAAACTCCAGAAGGTTCTGGAAGCATGGAGCAGATTCAACCTGAAGTTGGAAGCAGTGAGCATCCAGCAGGAATTGCAGAGACAGTGGCAAATGTGGAAATCACCAGAAAAATTGAAGGTGAAAGTTAGGCTGTCTAAGATTCAGGTTGTTTAGATGAGTTCCACAGGAGGCCATCTCTGGGGGCAAGGGTGCCCCAGTCACTCAAGTCCCTATCAGGTGGCTGAAGTTCATTTGACCCAAGTCTAAAAGGCTTCTGTACCTGGGCAACAGACATTCCATCAGTGCTTAGTTCAGCTTTCTAGCATTTTTTCCCCTAAACTATAGTCTGTGTCCCATTTTCTTCTTCTTTTTTTTTTTTAGTGGTACTGGGGTTTGAACTCAGTGCCTTGAGCTTGGTAGGCAGGAGCTTTACCATTTGAGCCACTTCACCAGCCCTGTGTCCCAGTTTTTAACCATTGATAGCAACATGTTAAAATTTCTAAAATTTTCAAGTTCATTTTCATCAGGCTCCATGTATGATATGAAGATCCAAAGTCAAGGGGAACAGATAATTAGTACAGGAGTTGAACTTCCAATGAAAGAATACACAAAGATAAGTTTTAGAATATCATTTTCATCTTAGCCAAATTTTTATTTTTAGACAGTGTCTCACAATGTAGTCCAGGCTGGCCTTGAACTCCTGGTCCTCTTGCCTCAGTTTCACGAATGCTGGGATACAGGCATGCATCACTATGCCTAGCTCTGTACTATTCCTGTCATTCTGGTCTTGTAGTCTTTTTTTTTTTTTTGGTGCTGGGGATTGAAACCAGCTTTGTACATACTAAGCACATGTCCTACCACTGAGCTAGTTCCTCCAGGACTGTCTTTTTATGAGAAGCCCAGAGAAAACATATTATGTCTTATATGTGGTGTTTTAAAATTTTTAAGTATATTTTATGAGCATAAAACAAATGACAAGGTCTCACTACATTGCCTAGGCTGGTCTGAAACTCCTATGCTTACATGATCCTCCAGCCTCGGCATCATGAGTGCTGGACATATAAGCATGCACCACTATACTGTTCCTTATTGAAATTACAAAAAAAAAAAAAAAAAAAACTTTCTCCAGGAATATGCTTTGGTAAACTTTAGCTTCACAGTATAGTATGACTAAGTGAAGCATTATAATCATATTTCTTTCATTTATTAACTCTTTTCATTTATTTATTCATTAATTTTTTCCCTTTTGGGGGCTCAAACATTGTGCCTGTCTCATGCTAGATAAATGCTCCACCCCTGAGCTACACTCCCAGTTCAGTGCAGTATGTTTGGATGCCTAACCATATGCCAGGTGCTGGGGATGCAGGATGAGTAAGAGGTTGTCCCTCTTCTCCAGGAGCTCCCAGTCTGTTGGGGACAGGCAGAATGTAGGCAAATTACTATAGTCTACTGAGGCAGATGCTTTAATGGAAATGTGTAAAAGGTGCCCTAGGAGTTAATAGGGAGAGATAAGTAAAAGTGTGTCTTTTTTGAGATCAGGATTAGCAAGGTCAAAAGGTTTCAGGCCTAGGATGCTGAAAACGTGTGAAGTGATGGGCACATGAGATTCAACGGGGAGCCCCAGGAGACCTTGGTAAATAGGAGTGCATAGCCCTGTCAAAAGGAAGTTGCTACTTGGTCCATCTGTGGGAGCAGGGGGCGGGGGGAGAGTGCAAGGGAGGCAGTGTTGTCTGTCTGACTTTTTTTAGGGAAATAGATTTGAATATGCAATGTCCAGACTTTTAAATGCTAGTTAGTAGTACTACATGTTTAAGGAATGTTTTCTTTAAATACCACAGTGGCCAAACAGTACAGATTTTGGGGCACCCCGAACCACCTTTTGATTTAGGAAGAAATTAAGCCACCTGTTGTAACATGTTGTAATGCCATTTCTTGGGCAACTTTGCCTCCTAATTTTATTTAAGAAAATACCAAGACCCAGAGATGTAAAGTAACTTGACATTGGCTATTCAGAGGTTTGAGGGAATGGAGGAGAATGCCTCTGTTGACACCACCAAAGAAAATTTTACTGTGTAGACTTAAAGAGCAAGAACTGTTCCCCTTGGAAACAAACTGTGGAGGTAATTCACTGTTGATGTTAAGTGAGTGTCTCTTAATAACTATCTCCTTTGGTTACTCTTCCAGGTGAGACAGGAGGAAAGGTGAAAACGGAGATGGAGAATGAGAAAGTCAGTGGACAGGCTGAAACAAAAGAAGAAGAAATAGAAGCTGTGGATCTTTCAGCAGCCACATAGATAGGGTGGACAGAAAGGTGAAGAAGCACAGTGTGTTCTAACAGAGGTCAGAAGAATGTTAGTGAAAAGTGTGGCTATGGATCTTATCTTTCTATGTGTTTTATAGTATGAGTGTAGTTAGATACTGTTGGAACCATGAGAATGGTTATGTTTTTGATTGTATTATTCTCTAAAACTGCTAAGCTTGAAACAGCTTTTTTTTTTTTTTACATAATTAGGATAATTATGCATTTAAAACAACAATAGCCAGAATCAATAAAAACTGGGGTAATACGACCACTTCAAAGCATGAGGGTGACTTTCTTCATTGTGGGCAATGGATCCATTCAGGATAGAAAATAAGACCCTGAAAGGTATAAACCTTTAGAGGTAGGTGGTTAGAGGAAGGAGCTGCATATTTTAAAGAACTCATGATAACAAAGTCACACAGTTGTAATGATGGAATAAGAATGAAAGCCAACAAAAATCATGGGATAAACATACCTAGTATTTCAGCCCTGTCATAGAAATTAGAACTGTAAGAACTTTGGAAAGTCTGTAGTCTGATACCTTCTCTCCTTAAGTCTGTCTACTAACATACCTCCTCTACATTATAGCATATTACACATTAGCAAAACACCTTCCAAAGGCATCTTGGTGGTGGTGTAAAATTAGGCATTTTTCCAATAAAAGCATTAACATTTTCCATTTTGAATCAGCTGGTAATTTTACTCTTAAGTGAGGCATTCTAATTGGTATTATCCTTCTGACTAACAAAGAATTTTAAGTTAGTTGACTTTTAATGTGTTTCAAAGGCAACAAACAGCAAGGATTAAGTCGTAGATGTACTGTCTACATGGAGGCTTCCTGAGCCATTTTCTTTTCTTTTTTTAAATAATTACAACTTAATACTACCTTTTATATATGGAAAAGAGCTAAGAAACCAAGCTTTTAAAAGGCATTTATAGTATTTTGTTAGAGTTAAAATGATGCATCACGGAAAGTCACTTTTCAAGAAATTTTCCAAAGTAAAGGACTTTTACTATTGATTAGTAAGTGACTGAATGTGAACAATAACATGATAGTTAACTCACTGCCAAATGCTTTTATGTTCGTATCGGAATTCTGGAAACACTTGCTATACTATTTGGAAATATATATTTAAGGTAACTGCTTAGGTGAACTAACTAGACTCTTTTTCTTTAGCTTTTACATTACAGCAATTATTAAGATGACCTGTGATTAATTATAAGACTATAGGGACAAGTGTGTCATTTTTCTGATTTGAATATCAGCTTATGCATCTGACTTTAAAGTCAGATTCAGGTAGACAACAAGAGCAGTTCCTTGAACAGATGACGCCATCCTGTCTGTAAAGTGAAGAGGCTGGAATGTGACTTCAGTGACTAAGCGCCATGTCTTGGAATTCAACCATTTAGCTCCTTTAATGGAATATGAAAGATACTTCCTACTCAAAACAGTTGTTGAATCAATAAATGAATAATACCAAGAGTTCCCATTTATATCTATTAGAAAAAACATATTTAAAATGTAAATTTGTATGACAATACCCCAAATCTATCTGGAAAATTGAAGAAAATCCATTTTCAAGTCTGGTCTGCTCAGGCTCAATGAATCGCTTTATGCTAAGAATACTTCCAAAAATAGCAATATTTTTAGGTCAGTTATGTTAATCTATAATTGATAAATCTTTTTAAGATACTTTTTTTTTATCCAAGGTTTTTTTTTTTTTTTTTTGTTTTCCTGACCAGAAAATATTGTTATACAGGCACCTGGCAAGAAGACAGTATCAGGACAGATAAGTATGTGAGGTGATAACTATCTTCATTAGCTTGATTTAATCATTCTAGAATATATATTTCAAAATATATTGTATTTCAAAAATATATTATTTATCAATTAAAATAAAAATTGAAAAATAAAACATAAAGCATAAGGCTTAGTATAAAATATCAGTGACCACCTTAGTAAGTGGAACTGTTCTCTGCATTAACACTGACATAGGAGGATGGATTAAATTACTAGGCATAAGGTCAATTCTCTTTTGGGTGGCTTATCTTTTTGAAAAACCTTTAACATAGTAACTTACCTATTCAGAACTTAACTCTTGAAAGAAATCTGTCCCAAAAAGCATTATACAGTTCCAATATAAACTTTTCAAAGCTGGATGTGGCAGGGCTTGCCTGTAATCCCAGCACTCGGGAGGCTGAGGCAGGAACATGGCAAATGGGCTACATAAGGAGATCCTGCCTCAAAAAATGCATGTAGTTTTCTAAACTGTTATTAATTTCATTATTCTCTGTTATAGCTCAAATAAATTATTCACAAACTTTTAGAAATTTGTGTAACTTTCTGTAATTTTGTCCTTTAATGTGGTACAAAGACATTTTTAGAAACTTTTATTCTTTTAGATGAAAAGTATGACCACTTTATGGCTTAGTTTGTGTCCTGTTAAGATTATCACATTATTTTCTATACCTAACTGGAAGGGAAATGGTGAACAAATGACTTCCTAATTAGCAGCCCCACCAGGGAATGAACATTTTGCCAGTTGCAAGTCTAGGAAGTGCCCAGGTTGGCTGGAAGTACCGACCTCCTGGGGACCCACAGATAGAAATATGTGATCGTTGACCTGTGATCATACTGCTCTTTCCATTTAGACTTTGGAGTAAGAGCTCCTAGCATAGTTCATGCGTTTTTTTTGTTTGCTTTTTTGGTAGGACTGGAGTTTGAACTCAGGGCTTGGTGCTTGCAAAGCAAGCACTCTTACCACTTGAGCCACACTTCCAGCCCATTTTTCTCTGGTTATTTTGGAAATGGGGGGTCTTTCTATTTGCCTGGCTGGCCTCAAACTGTAATCCTCTCAGTATCAGCCTCCCAAGCAGCTAGGATTACAGTTGTGAGCCACTAGCATCCAACAGTTCATAGCTTTTGAACAGTCAAAACACTAGTCCCACTTTACAGATGTTTTACTCCAAATTTGGCCTTATAAGAATTGGTTTTAAAGGAAAACGTTTTTCCCTATTTAACTACTCAGAGAGTTTTGGATGGCCATGGTCAAGATAACCCCAGTAGGGTTTACATTTTTGCTCTTTTGGTAAATCCAATAACTTGTTAGGGAATAAAGCATCCTGTTTTTATGCAGATAGTTTGGGCCCCAGCACTTCCTGGGAAGTCACGGGTCCAAAGATGACCTTTCCAACCAGCAGTTCAGTGGGAGGACAGACTAGCAGTTATTTAATGGACCAGTACAGAGTAGTTTCAAGTTTCATGGATTATCAGTTACTAAAAACTTTTTTTTTAAATAAAAGTAATTTTCTATCTAGGTACTGTCTAGGACATAGAATGATTAGGTAATAATTGCAAAGAAAAAATGTTTTCTTAGTAAATATTGAATTACCTGTTCATTGTAGAAATTTCAGAAAATGGAAACTTTAAAAGATGACATTTAAATAGTATACTTAATTAATCAAAAATCATTGTTAGCATGTTCATGTACATGGGGGATTTTTTTTTAGTTGCAAAACTTGTAAATAACAAGTAAGCCAAAACACCACTATTACGGGAATGTCAAGTCTATCGGGTGACTGAGCACAGCACTTCTAGGTTTTTCTCCCTGGAATCCACTGAAGAAGATAACAGAGAAGGTTCCAGCAATACTTGCTATAATAGTAAATGTAAATCAGTACTATAGAGGAAGCAGCTGTGCCTAAGTATATTAGCACTTAGCTCACCATGATTTATGCCTTTTACAATAGACGAAGAGTTCACTGAAAAGTGCTTGGAATCACTGTTAGTTTTTTCTCTCAGTGCTGGGGATCAAACCCAGGGCCTTGTACATACTAGGCAAGTTCTCTACCACTGAGCTACATCCCCAGTCCTGGGATTACTTTTAAGACATCCCAATTGTTGAAATGAGAAGAGGCTGTAAGCCCTTCTGAGGGCAGGAAAGGTGGCTCATACTTGTTTGTTTTTCTCATAGTCTAGTACAAACTTGGCCTTCTGTAAATACTTGATGACAAATGCTTTTTACTTTTATATAATCATAGCAATTTCCTTGTAACTAAATATAATTGGCTATAGGAGAAATTATGGGCAAAATTTTATAAAATTGTTTTGTACTAATGGTTCAACATTTATAATTTTGATTGAGTATGTGCTATTACAACTAATAAAGTCTTTGAAAGCCTATTCCAGTATATTTACTGAATTATTACATAAACATGTAAAATATTTTTTGACTTTTGCAGAAAAAAGCAAACTTTAAATTATGTACTCTCAGAGATAAGAAATATGGAAACAGTAGATATGGGTGTCTCTTCTTTGTTATCTTACACTTCAAAGGGATTCTTATGTCTGTAAGTATGTTTGAAAGGCCAACATACAGTAAATATTCTTTTTCACATAACAAAATCTAGCACTCTCCTTTGATTTGGAAAATAAAACTCAAAATCCTGACCCAAGTTACTAATAAGCTGTTACCTTGGGTACCTATCTCTTATTTCCAGCTCTTTCGTTCTAGGGTTTGATTTTGAAATCATGACCTATATATAACTGTGTTGCTTATACCCAAGTTGGCCCAAGTATCTAATTTTCTAGCTGCAGTGATTGGTTTTGGAACAAGCCTTTCCTAACCGGGGCTGGGCCAATCAGAGGCTTCCCTGAGATTTTCCTGCCAGAGATACGAGGAAATGGTATTTTTCTGCTGGGGTTAGTACACTGTTTGACTATATGTATAGGCTATAGCATCTTCCCAAGAGACAGATGGAACCATGCATGACATTTCTGGACTACATGTGCCTAAGGACAGCTTAGAATAGAATTCTGGGGGATTATAGCCTATGAATTCCTCTTTTATTCCACTTATGCTAGTTTTTCTATCATTTACAAATAAAAGTCTTGAAGAGAAATAGCTCAAAAGCCAAAATTTGGTTCTGACTGAAGAAAATAGTAGAAAATCTCAATGTTCCTGTTATCCATGGAAGAAACTGAATCGGTCTAAACATTTTCCCCAAAGAAAATACCCAGTCCAATTTTCTAGGCAAACTTAATTCAGGCAATTCAAGGACAGATAATGAGGCCATATAGCGTCTTAAAGAAAAGCCAATTTCATAGATAAACGTAAATGTCCTAAATACTGCTAGCCTGAATTTAAGAATGCATAAGGCAGACCATATTACAAATAAAGGTGTATGTATATCAAACACATTAACCAAGTTGAAATGCAAACTTGGTTCTACATTATAAAATTGCTGTATGTTACATCAGCAAATTTGCCATTGGTAAAGAAAAAAAGTTCTAAAAATCCCAAACACTTTTAACTCCAGTCACCTCATTGAGGTCTTCCCTTCTCAGAGCTTAATCCTCCCAATCCTTCCCACCTCCCCTTGCTTTGTTTTTCTCTATGGCTCTCAACAATCCAACATGTAGGGGTGGAGGGAAGGGGGGAGAAATGACCCAAACATTGTATGCCCCATATGAATAAAAGAAAAAAAATAACCCCCCCAAAAAACCCCAATCCAACATGTAATTTTGTGTGTTATGTACCTGTGAAGAATGTTATCACAGCATTGTGGTAATATAATTTTGAAGACACTGAATCATATGAAGAATGGTTAACTCACCTAAGGTACAGACACACAAAAGAACGAACATTCTGTAGCTTTTATTTCTTTTTTCTTTTATTCATATGTGCATATAATGTTTGGGTCATTTCCCCCGCCTCTTCCCTTCCCCCCTCCCGCCCCCTCCCTCTCCCCTCTACCCCCTTGCTTCCAGGCAGAAACTATTTTGCCCTTATCTCTAATTTTGTTGAAGAGAGAGTATAAACAATAATAGGAAGGACCAAGGGTTTTTGCTAGTTGAGATAAGGATAGCTATACAGGGAGATTCCTCACATTGCTTTCATGTACATATGTGTTGCATTCTAAGTTGATTCTTCTTTAACTAACCTTTTCTCTAGTTCTTGGTCCCCTTCTCCTATTGGGCTCTGCCACTTTCTGCAGTAGTTTTTTAAATGAGGTAGATCTATGTGTATATGGAAAGATCTTTAAGACAGAAAAAACAATCTGAAGAATAATGTATTCAGTAAGGGTCCACCTATTTAAATGAGCAAAATAGACCAGATACTCAAGTATGTAATGAATAAAAAGAAACTTCTAGCAGGGATTCATTCTTTTTTTTTTTTTAGGAGGAAAAGTTTCTTTTGGCTCAGAGTTTCAGACTTTTTAGTTACTAGTCACTTGACCCTGTTGCCTCTCAGCCTGTGGTGAGGAAGCACCTATAGCAGGAGTGCGTGGTAAAGGAAGCTTCATCCTCTGGTGAAGCAGAAAACAGGAGGTGCCAGGGTCCCAATATTTCTTTCAAGGGCATACCCCTTGATCTAACTTCTTTCCAGTAGGCCCACCTACTGGAAAGAGGTTACAGCCTCTTTCAAATAGTTTGGGGCCTTTGGGAGACTTCAAGATCCAACAATAGCAGAATAATTCTTTAAGGGGAAGAGAGTGGACTAGAGACTGAACAAGGGGGGATTTCCCTTTTTAACCTATATAATTTTATATGGGATTTATTCTACAATGGGGAAATATTCATGTTGTAGCTGTCTAAAATGATGACAGACTTTGGAACAGAGTATGGTGGTGTGCCTCTGTAGTCCCAGCTGCTCAGAAGGCTGAGGCAAGAAATTGCTTGAGCCCAGGAGTTTGAGGTCAACCTAGACAAAGAGCAAGGTCTATCACACTTCCCCACAAAGAAAAAGAAAGCTTTTAAATAAACTCAAAATAATTATAAATAACCTGAATTCAATAGGTAAAAATGTACAAAGTCAGACAAAAACTGTGAAATGAAATAGTTGAGATTTACCTTCACAGTTTCTTCTCCCCTTTCATTAGGTAATATGTTTTCCTGTATAAATTAAAACTGCTGAAAACAGTAATTGAGCAAAATCACACCAAGGGAAACCTACATGCTTATTTTATTTCCATTAGAAAAATACTTCTATATAAAATTTTGGTTCACTTTCTTCAAATTTGAATATTTTAATTTTACTCATGACAGCTAAATATTTCACATCATTAAACTAATAAGATTTAATTGAATTACTGGTGCTCTTTATTACTTCCTAGGAACAATACCTTATCTTCCCTAGAGTAAGTCATCTTTTCCTTTAAGTAACTATGTAATTAGTGTCTCTTCTCTCACATTTAGCAATATGAGTTATGTAAGTGTAATTTATAGCATTCATAACTGGATTCATTAATCTTCAATTCTTGTCAAATTTCCCTATGATATGGTATTTCCGTGATAACCAGATTTTTTAAATTATTTTATTATTCATATGTGCATACAAGGCTCGGGTCATTTCTCCCCCCTGCCCCCACCCCCTCCCTTACCACCCACTCCGCGCCCTCCCTCTCCCCTCCACCCCCTCAATACCCAGCAGAAACTATTTTGCCCTTATTTCCTTTGTTGTAGAGAGAGTCAGATGTTTTAATTACACCTTACACTGCCCAACATCAATTGTAAAAATTAAGATGTTAATTTAAAGACAAGATAGAAATTCCAGAGACAAACACTGGGTCCACTTAGAGTGATGCTGTTGTAAGAGGTCCTTGGACAGCTATTGCTTCAATCTCAACTTGGCTTCCCTGTAAGGAGAATAAGGAAACAATATTTGAATCATTTTGTATAGAACAAGAGAGCTAGGTATTAATTGTTAAACCATATGCAACTAACAGCAACCTAGTATCTTTTTTTTTTTTTCTATTTTTTCCTTTTTTTTTTTTTTTTTTCGGTGCTGGGGACCGAACTCAGGGCCTTACACTTGCCAGGCAAGCGCTCTTCCACTGAGCTAAATCCCCAACCCCAACAACCTAGTATCTTTATCATTCAACTTTTCAAAGAAAAGGAATAGGGAAAATTCACTAAGAACCTACAATAGGTCAAGTTACCATGCTAGGCACATTCATATACATGAGCTCATTTGATTCTCACAGCAGCCCCATTAGATAAATGTTCTCCTAATTCATAAAATGATGCACTGAAACTTAGAAAGGCTAATTAACTGGTCCCAACTCACAAAGGTAAATAGCAGAGGTTCAAGCCCATATGTTATGATTCCAAGTTCAGAGTTCCTTCTACTACACCCAATACCTTAATAAGTTTGATGGTAATGATCATTCCAAGTAATAACTGACTAAAGCAATAAATACGCCACTCTTAGAAGATACATTTTCTTCAGTGGAAAGTTTTAAGTGGCAGGCAGTAAGAGCTGCTTCTTTATTGGCAGGAATATCATATCACTAGGAGGCAAAGGAAAAGAGCTTCTAGTAAGAGAATACTAAAACCAGAATGGTAAAATATGTGTGCTATTGATTCAGAGAGTATTTTCCTAATGGAAGGTCTACATTCTTTTTATAATAAAGAATCTAATAATAGCCAAGCGCAATTTTTATCACAGAACTGGCTCAAATTTAGTTTCTGAAGGAATATTACAATATAGCTGTTCTTGTACTTTTTCTCATGATTTAAGTGCTCTGATTCTGTTCTGCTCATATGTTGCTTTGTAAGGTGTTATAATTTTTTTCCCCATGCATGGAATATAAAGTGCTTACTTTTAGTGTTTAACTTCCAGTACAGCAGGGACTGTGTCCTTTTCTTTATTTTTAAATGTCCTTCCACAGCACTTAGTTTAAGTATACTCAGAAAACAATGTAGCAATTTAAAATTGTATGCATTAGTCATTTTCAAGTGTACTTACTTTGGGCAAAGCAGCAACCTGGTAGGCAGCTCTAGCGGGAAAATTCCTCTTGAAATCTGAATTTAAAACAATTTCATTTTAATTTCCAGGTACTGTACTCCTATTTAACACTGCAAAATCAATAATCTGGTAAATTCTTCATGCATAGTCAACAAGCAACATTTCAGAAAAGAAGCTCACATTCAGATTTGTTCGATAAAATATTTTGCCATATGATTCCTATGATACTTACTACTTTTCTGAATGTCTTATCTTTCTGGGAAAAAAAAAATACATATTGACACTTTGGATCTTATTTGATGGGAATGGGGTTTGGTCTTTAAAGTGATACATACATAAACTTCAAATTTATATCTTGAAGAAGACACAAGAAAATGAGTTGTTCCCAGAAAAAGGACATAGAAAGCTGGGGAAAGGAATGGGAGGGAGACTTTACAAGTATTACCTTCTGCACTTTTTCAACTTTAGCAAAACTATGAAAAATATTAATTAGTAATTAATATACTATACCTAATAATTGCTATTAAAATCTTTTAAGATAAAATTAAAAAGTGGTATTTACAGACCAGTTATCTAAATAAGGAACAGCTAGCCCTCTATCTTCAGCAATTTTTGCAAGTACTTTCTCACTAACTTTGCTCTTCTCTGATCCTTTCTTCTGGGGAGTATAAGCAATGATGCTTTTTCCATGTTACACCTTTGTCTCATCCCACCAGATGAAAGGGACCCTATTTTTCCACTATGACAGCAGTAGTAGCACTTATTCAGTGCTCTCAACATGCCAACATAGGTGCTTTACAGGTTGTAGTAATTCATTAATCACTCCAACAACCTTATAAAGTAGCCATATAAGGTGTTTTATATATGAGAAAACCAAGGTACAGAAATGTTAAGTAGGTAGCTAGTGATTCTGAGAGAGCCAGAACAAAGATGATGGCTATACCGTATCTGTGTGTATAAAAAATTTTTAGGGGGGCTTTAAAAGCCTAAGAAAGATATAAAAAAATTAAGCTTTAGGAAAGCAGATTTGTAAGGGACTTTGCATATTATTTTAGAGAATGCAACAGAAATATAATTTTTAGGACAAGGTGACACTTCTATAGCATCTCCTGTCTTTTTTTTTTTTTTTTTTTTGAGACAGAGTCTCGTATGTAGCTCAGACCAGCCTTGAGCTCTTGATCCTCCTGCCCTAAGATCCCAAGTGTTACAGGCATGTGCCACCATGCTCGGCTTTTGCCACTTTCAACTGATAATGGACACTCTTTATATTAATGGCTTCGTTTCACTTTAAAACAAAAAGCAGGAATAAAGCTAAATTACTTACACTGTTTGTAGATTTCATTGACAGTCCCAAAGTCATTTATGTCAGCCAGTAAGATAGATGTTTTGACCACTAGAAGATACACAGATTTTCACTGGACTTAGCTATCTGGTCTAATCAAAATTAGAAAAACATGATTCTGTGACTGTCTTGATTAAAAGGTAAAGGAAGAAGTGAAGTAGTACAATGCTGTTTCCCAGACCACTAAAACAACTTTAAAAAGCAACAAAGAAATGGCATGACATGATTACTAGATGACATGTGTTCTTCAAAAAGACCAAGGAGCTATCAAACAGAAATTAATAGTGCTGGGGGAGGCGGTGGATCAGAGGTAGAGCACATGCCTAGCATGCATGAGGCCTCGAGTTTGCTCCCCAGCACTGAAAAAAACCAAACCAAACCAAAGCAAATCAACAAAACAACAAAGCCCCCAGAATCTAACAGTGGAGTAAAATCAAGTTGCTTACCATTAGTGAAGTCACAGCCTGCAGCTTTCAGAATTTCACCTATGTTCGTAAGAGCCTGTGAACCAAGGCAAGGAAGGCACTGGTGTTATTTTAAAACTTTAATTAAATTCTACCAATTCGCCTTTTACTAATACCTCCTTAAATAACTCATGTTGCAGAAAAATTCTCCTTACTCTTTTTAGGATGCTTCTACACAAGTCAATTGTTTTTGGTTTTCCTTTAGTGGAATGATTTTTGTTTTTTTTAAATACAGTGAAAAGGTCGTTTCCTTTTGTGAGTAAAAAGACTGGAATGAAGCCCCTTCTACATGCTAAAATGTATTGATTTTTCAGGCAATATCCATTAAGCTGAGGCAGAAATAATTTGTAGAACTTGCCACTTTGTGTCACTTCAACAATGAAATAATAAGCATAAAAACAAGTTTTTAAAGTAATATGTAATGTTAAAGGGTTATTTTTCCTTTTTCTCAAAAAACAGTATTAGTGAATTACATATAGGTTTAACACTCTGGCCTCTGGAAAAACACCAGTGTTTTTTTTTTACCCTAGCCTTAACTTATTCTTTTCAAGTTTATTCTTCCTCCCTACTTTACTGATGATAACATTTGATTATATGTTTTTAAAGAAGTAATTGAAATGTGTACTGTGCAGATAAGGCAAATAATTCAATAGCTATAAAAAAGCATATATAGTGAAAAGATGTCTTCTCACCCTCCACTCCCTAGAGGTAAACCATTATTTCCCATTTCTTGTATGTTCTTCTAGAGACAGTCAATGCTCATACATAAATGTATATTTTCTTAAACACACAGAGATGTGCACATAGTAGCATATTGCACCTGCTGGTCTGCATCTTGTTTTAATTTTATTATCCAGCCATTTATCTTAGAGATTTTCCCATAAAAATTTAGTTGTATAGGTCTAGCATGATTTGTTCAGTCAATTTCTTATGGACATTTAGGTTGTTTCCTATTTTGGGTACCACAAAAGACAGTGAATGCATTAAATTGTAATTTAATTCTATTTTGGATTACAATTGTATTCCCTCCCACTTGCTCATAGTAGGCAAGTGTTCTACCACTAAGCTACATCCTCAGTCCCCTTTAAAAAAAAAAAACAACACACTCTATATAACCTTTGATATTTTTCTCTTGCTAGCAAATGTTGACTTTTTAACTTCTGTGATAGTGACATTTCTGTGGTAGGGGGAGGGTAGGTCAGTGACTCTGAAAATAAAATTTCCCAATCTACGTGGAAGTGACAACATGCTATTTGACCTTGATAATACAGGTTTAAAGTCATCTTAGTTATAAGCAAGTGTAATCTCTCTCTTTTTTTTAATTTTTATTTTATTCATATGTGCATACAATGTTTGGGTCCTCTTTTTTTTTGGTTGATAAAAGACTCATTGCATTTCCCCTTAATCAAAACTGTCTAAACCAAGTAGGAAGCAGCTCAGAAAACATTTGCCTGTTTATTAAAAACAAATCGGGCAGATGGATTGTTAATTGCCTAAAATATTAAAAAGTAGAAGAAAAAGGAAATTCAAATGTGGAAAATGACTTACTTGTTTAGTTTCTTCCATTACTCCTCCTGGTACAAGCTGTCCACTTGCAGGGTCTATGCCTACCTGTCCTGAAATGTATATGGTCCTGTCGACTTGCACAGCTTGACTGCAATGAACAAAAAGTCAGTGCATACATACAATATAAATACAATATGAAATTCAATGCTAAAAGAGTAATTTGATAGACACAAAAAGTACAAATTGTAAAATAAAATGATAAATTGGACTTCATTAAAGTTAACTTGTTTATCAACAGACATTTTTAAGAAAATGGAAAAACAAGTCACAGACTGGGAGAGAGGTTTTTGTAAATATGTATCTAATAAAAGACTTACATCCAGAATTTATGAAGAATCCTTATAACTCAATAATATGGAAGACATATAGGCAAATGATGTGAACAGATATTTCATAAAAGGAGACATACAAAGAACTGAAGAGCACATGAAAAATGCTCAATGTTATTAGTCCTTAGAGATACACAAAAGAAACTGGAAGCACTGACAGAGATGTAGAGCAACTTGAACCCTCATCTATTGTTGGAAGGAATGCAAAATTTTAACAGCCACTTTGGACAGTTTGTCAGTTTCTTAATAACTTAAAACACATTTAATATACAACCCAGCAGGTTTTTTTTTCCCTCCTAGGTAGCTATCCAAGAAAAATGAAAACATATGTCCAAAGAATTGTTCATGACAGCAAAACAGAAAAACAAAAACTGAATCATTGATAAATCCAACTGAAGACTAAAATCTTTTTGGATGTCACTTGTATGAAATTCTAGAAAAGACAAGGTAACCGCAGCAAAAAGTAACTGGCTATCTGGGGTAAGTGCTGGGTACTGAACACAAATGGACAGGAGAGGATGTTTTGGGGATGATGGAAATGTTCTAAAACTTGGTTGTGGCAGTGGATGTATGACTATATATTTACCAAAACTCATGGAACTCTTCACTTAAACTGGGTGATTTTTAAAATAAGTAACTTGTATTTCAAATACAGCTGTGAAACAAAAAAAAAAAAATGCCAGGTGCACTTTAAAAAAATAAATAATTCTCAGGCAAGATTAATCACTGCTGTTGAAAAGTCAGTTAAAAATGTGCTTTTGAGGGTACACTTCAGTACTACAAAGTGCTTACTTTTGTAATTGAATTTTTCTGTGATGAGGATGCTAAGTTTCAGAATTAGGATAAAAGCACAAGAAAAAGAACACATTATCCTGACATCTGAAACAAATGTCAAACAAATTCAACTTTTTTTCTTTTTTTTTGGTACTGGGGTTTGAAGTGAGGACCCTGTGCTTGCTAGGTAGTCACTCTACCACTTGAGCCATGCCCCCAGCCCCAATTCAACTTTTTATAGTAAATATATTACTTTGGGAATAAAGACGACCCCTCTGTTTTTCAAGATGCTGAAGAGAGAAACTTTAATACAAATTTTTACTTAGAAGGAAAATTTGTTTTACTATTTTTAAGCTTATTTAGAAGCTTGAGCCTTGTTATTTTAATCATTTTCCTCTAGCTCCCATTCTTCTGTTTTCCAACATACCTTTAAAACTTTTTCTTTCTTCAGTGCTAAAGATTGAACCCAGGGCCATGTACATGTGAGAGAACACATTCAGCCAAATTTTCTTTTTATTTCATTGAACTTTCCTTGGGTTGACACCTTTTTTTTTCCCCCCAGGAAGGAACACATTCAAAAATCCAGAAAATATACCAAAAAAAAAGCAATTAAAAAGTCTCCCTTCTATCCTTGTGTCCCTTTTGCTAAGTTCCTAGTGATTATTACAGATTATCACTGTTCTGCTTTATGGATTCTTCTGGTTTCTTCATGTACATATGAACAAAACATGCTTATTTTCTCCCTTTTCTTACATAAGATATGATTTCTTTTTTTGCAGTCAATGAATATTTATTAAGCCCATAGTAAATGGGACAGAGCTACAAAATGGGCCTCTGCCATCTGTGTACAATTCACAGCACCCATCCAGGATCGTTGCCTTGCTGTTTCTCCTCAGCTGGGCACATCCCATTCAATAGTGTAGTAGTTGGCTTGTTCAAAAGTTTGAGTCTTCTTAGAAAGTAGTGGCTAGCACAGGTCATAGCTAATGGGGACTTTGCTTCATTTTAAAGATACACTGTGCAGACTCATTGCTTTCTGTGGAGGTACTGATCTGATCTGTGGGCTCACTGGCTTCATCCACAAAGCTGGAGTTGACCATCTTGACATCAGTAGAGAATTCAAAGGTGTGTGTGTCTCCATTGTATGTGCCCATAGTGGTCTCTTGAGTTTGCAGTCTGTTGTGGGTCAGTGGTTGAATCTTCATCTGTGGTTACCTCTAGAGCAGTGGTTACGACCACTTCAGAGGTGATCCCCACACTAACTCTGGCTCACCAGTAGAGTCTAGTTCACTGGTTGAGTCTAGAGGAGCTGCTCTGACCCGGTCCAGCCCTTTATGAGGTCAACTCAAACCCACAACAGGAATCAGAGCTTAGTCACTCAGGTTCCCAGGCCCAGCAGGACTCTCTCTCTCCAAAATATGATTATCTTAAGCACTTTTTTATACTTGCTTTTTTCAATCAACAGTGTATCATGAATATCTACTCATAGAATTCCTCATTCATTTTTAAAATAGCTACACAGCATTTCTTTACACGGATATATTTTATTTAACTATTAACCTTTGCGTCCAATATTTTATTATAAATAAAGCCACACTGGAAGCTATCAAACACACACACACACACACCTCTCTCTCTTCCCCTGAGAAAGTAATTAAGCCTCTTTCCCTTGAATCCCAGGGTTCCTTTTATAAATGGCTTGGTTTTTTTTTTTTTTTTTCTGGCAGTACTGGGGTTTGAACTCAGGGTTTCATGCTTGCTTAGGCAGGTGCTCTATCACTTGAGTCCTGCCTGCAGCCCTTTTTTTACTTTAGCTATTTTTCAAATAGGGTTGGCCTCAGACTGCAATCCTATCTATGCCTCCAATGTACTTGGAATTAGAGGAGTGAACCACCATAGCTGGTAAAAATGGCAGTTTTAAAGAAACTGCCAGCCTTTCTTCATGCTAGGTAAAAGATCCCATATTAAGTTCTAGTTAGTCCTGGTCTCCTATCTCCCAGAGTATCTTTGATTCTAAACTCCTTGAGGGTAGGGATTAGTGGCTGACCATCCTTCTGTAGCAGTGGAGTGCCTAGGTGAATATCTGCACACAGTAGGCATAATATAACTACTTCATGTTTTGTTCTCTAACCACGTAGCAGTATCAACAATTTTGGTTGTCAACGACTATCTTTTTTAGCAGGACCTGCTAGGTCATAATGTGGGGTTTGGAGAGCTGAAAATAGACTTACTAACAGGATTTAGAAAGGCTAGGAATTCCTTAAAAAATATGAGGAATTCCTTAAAATCAAAGGAGGAGGTGGGGGGGGAGGGCCGGGAGAGAGAAAGGTAAGGGCAATGCAGGGGGAGTGTGAATGAACATGATGTACTTTACATGCATGGATGGAAATAGGATAATGAAACCCACTAAAGATTACTTAAAAAGAGAGAGAGGGAGGACAAGAAAAAGTAACAGGGGGTAAATCAATCAACAAACATTATATGCATGTATGGACATATCACAATAAAACCCCTCTATAGAATTAACATATGCCAATAAGATAAAAAAAAGTTTAGGAGTTCTTCTCAACTGTCTGGCTTTCACCTTGGTCCTCAAATGTGTAACTATGGAGCTGGTTAATCTGTAACCTTTTCAGGTTGAACAGTACCATTAGCTAACAGTATTAACTGTCCTGTGGAGAACCAGGCCATCTGCACTAGGTCCTTTTTGTTTTAGCCCATATGTATTATCAGTCATCAAAAACTTTATGATGGCAAAAAACTGCTCACATTTACTTCTGGAATATTAAAAGTAAGCACTGGAACTCTGAGACTATTTAAGCTGTGCATTACCTCTTAAGAAAGTTAAAGAGGTTTGTTCACAAAAATAACTTGGATCCTTGCTATCTTCTAAGCATACGAACCCTAGTATACATAGACAAGTTGTTGTTCGGTGTCAGAAAATTTAAAAGTGTATTATTCTACTCCAAGCCCAAAAGGTAGAAAAAGCAATGCAATAGCACCGTGATGTTGAAATCTCTCAAGGCTCTGTCCTTGAAGTATGTTGAAATGCATGCGTGGAGCTGACTAGCTGATTAGTGACAACACTCCATCTGGCCCAATGCCAGGGACTGAAAAGCTGACCACACTGAATTCTTTCTGGAGAGGACCCAGAATTTTCAAACGTGTACTCAACTACAAACTCCCCATACAAAAACTTTGTGTTTCCAAATGGTTCTTAAATCATGTCCAATTCGCTTTTATCAGGGCATCGTCAGGCCATTTTGAGTGGCCTTTGTTTTGAATCCTTTGCATGCAATGTCCTGGAAAGTCTCCGCACCACGGAGTCGACGGAAGGCTGCTGTCACACTGGCACATTCCTCTGTCCATGACTCCCCTTTTCTGTTTGCAGCTATATGATGCAGCTACCACCTCCAACTCAGTCAGGAATGAGGATCAGAGCGTTTCTAAATAGGCTGGGTGAGTTGTATGCTCTTTTAACAAGCTTCAGGACAAAGCGTCTTTTATTACCACTTGATTTTTGCTAATGGTGGGTTTTGTTCTGAAGTAAAAAAGTTATTCTAAATGCTACCACTGGGTGATCGAGGGATAGGGACTGGGGCAGGAGGAAAAGATTTCTATCCGAATTACTATCAGGATTCTCTTCTTGAAAGGAATCTGATTTTTTTTCCCACTCAAAAACATTCCACGGCTACTCATTACATGCAAAATAAACTTCATAACTTTCTGTTTAGCATTAGAAACCATCAGCATCCGGATTCCGTTACAATCTAATTTTTATTGGTCACTTTCTTTTTGCTCTGGTTATTTTTGAGATAGTCTGGCTTTATACCCATGCCCACCTGGACACAATCCTATTTTAGGCTTTCTGACACAGCTGGTGGTGCACCACCATGCCCAGCTTTTTTCTGTTGAGATAGGGTCTCTTAAACTCTTTTGCCCAGCTAGGCCATCCAGATCTCAGCCTCCCAAGCTAAGATTATAGGCACAAGTCAAAGGAGTCCAGCTCCACAAAAATCTTATGAAGTGCTGTTACTGTTATGTCCACTTAGAAGATGAAGAAGCAAACTAAAGAGAGGTGAAGTACTCTGCAAGGTCACACAGTTAAACAGAAGCAAAGCTGCCCCAGTCACATGCAGTGAATCACAGTAAGGAAATTGTTCCTTTTTCAATTCTTCCAAGCTGGGGAGAGCAAACTACATGATTCAGATTGAGCTTTGGGGCCCAATGCCCAAATTCAAATTCTGTTACACCACTTAGTGGTGTGACCTAGAAAAATGGGGACTGTAATAAGCAATTGTGCACATGAAGCACTTAGAAAAGTGTCTAGTGCTGAGTAAGCATCAATAAACGTCAGCAATTGCTTTCAATCCTTCTGGCTACATTAAGGAGAAAAAAATATTAGGTTTAGGGAATATGTTTAAAGAAATACCATTTTTAAAAGTGCTGGGGATCAGATGCAGGGGCTTGAACATGCTATGCAAGCACTCTGTGAGCTACATCCCCAGAAACATCACTTTCAACAAAAAGAGAGCAGGCTGAAGGTTTTGAGTCAACTGCAATAACTAACTAGAATTGAGTTAAGAGTGCATTTGCCCTCACTCAAGCCATTCCCACTGTTTGGAATGTCCTTCAACTCCAGGGCATCCTGTTAACTTAAAAATCAAACTTTACAACACTATTTTAGAACCAAACTTAAGGACTATCTCTCATAAGGAGCCTTCCTAAAGGTTTTTTCTTTTTCTGCCCCAAGTTAGAATCAATTTTTCTCTTCCCACTCCATTGCATTTTATTCCCAACTCTATAATAATTACTGTTCTGCCACAGGTGAGTGCTATTTTTTTTGGCACTGTGGAATAGAAGGAGCAAATGCTGAGTTCAAATCAAGCTGTCACTTATAGACTATCTAACCTTGGGAAAGCTGACTTTAAGCCTCAGCTTTCTTTTGTTTGATGGCTTGTTTAGCATATTTAACATTTGTCTTTCTTTTTTTCTTTTATTTTTTTTCATTTTTCTTTTATTATTCATATGTGCATACAAGGCTTGGTTCATTTCTCCCCCCTGCCCCCACCCCCTCCCTTACCACGCACTCCGCCCCCTCCCTCTCCCCCTCCTCAATACCCAGCAGAAACTATTTTGCCCTTATTTCTAATTTTGTTGTAGAGAGAGTATAAGCAATAATAGGAAGGAACAAGGGTTTTTGCTGGTTGAGATAAGGATAGCTATACAGGGATTGACTCACATTGATTTCCTGTGCGTGGTGTTACCTTCTAGGTTAATTCTTTTTGATCTAACCTTTTCTCTAGTTCCTGGTCCCCTTTCCTATTGGCCTCAGTTGCTTTAAGGTATCTGCTTTAGTTTCTCTGCATTAAGGGCAACAAATGCTAGCTAGTTTTTTAGGTGTCTTACCTATCCTCACCCCTCCCTTGTGTGCTCTCGCTTTTATCATGTGCTCAAAGTCCAATCCCCTTGTTGTGTTTGCCCTTGATCTAATGTCCACATATGAGGGAGAACATACGATTTTTGGTCTTTTTGGCCAGGCTAACCTCACTCAGAATGATGTTCTCCAATTCCATCCATTTACCAGCGAATGATAACATTTCGTTCTTCTTCATGGCTGCATAAAATTCCATTGTGTATAGATACCACATTTTCTTAATCCATTCGTCAGTGGTGGGGCATCTTGGCTGTTTCCATAACTTGGCTATTGTGAATAGTGCCGCAATAAACATGGATGTGCAGGTGCCTCTGGAGTAACAGTCTTTTGGGTATATCCCCAAGAGTGGTATTGCTGGATCAAATGGTAGATCATGTCAGCTTTTTAAGTAGCCTCCAAATTTTTTTCCAGAGTGGTTGTACTAGTCTACATTCCCACCAACAGTGTAAGAGGGTTCCTTTTTCCCCACATCCTCGCCAAACCTGTTGTTGTGGTGTTGCTGATGATGGCTATTCTAACAGGGGTGAGGTGGAATCTTAGTGTGGTTTTAATTTGCATTTCCTTTATTGCTAGAGATGGTGAGCATTTTTTCATGTGTTTTCTGGCCATTTGAATTTCTTCTTTTGAGAAAGTTCTGTTTAGTTCACATGCCCATTTCTTTATTGGTTCATTAGTTTTGGGAGAATTTAGTTTTTTAAGTTCCCTGTATATTCTGGTTATCAGTCCTTTGTCTGATGTATAGTTGGCAAATATTTTCTCCCACTCTGTGGGTGTTCTCTTCAGTCTAGAGACCATTTCTTTTGATGAACAGAAGCTTTTTAGTTTTATGAGGTCCCATTTATCTATGCTATCTCTTAGTTGCTGTGCTGCTGGGGTTTCATTGAGAATCTTTTACATTTTTGTATCCCTGAAGTACCTGGCTTATGATAGACATTCAACATAGACACTATAAACTATATTTTAAAAAGGAAAAGGGGAAAGATAGTTACTGGATACATATTAGTGAAGAATTAAAAACAAACAATATTAGAGAAAAAGTTTCCAAGGATACATAGGATATGATCCAATGGTTTTAAAGCTGACTTATTTTTTAAAAATCAAGTTTTAAGGGCTGGTGGAGTGGCTCACAGGTAGAGTGGTTGCGTAGCAAGCATGAAGCACTGAGTTCAAGCCCCAATACTGCAGGGAAATCAAGTTTTAAGATGGTCATGGGACCAGGCATGGTGGTGCACTCCTGTAATCCCAGTTATATGGACGGAATAGAAAGGAGGACAGAGATCCATGACTCAAGTGGTAGAGTGTGAAGCTAATTTTTTTAAAGATGGATATGGTGGCACATGCTTGTAACCCCATCACTTTGGAGGTGGAAGGAGAATTGAATGTTCAAAGCCAGCCTGGCTACGTGAGACTCTTCTTTTTGTTCCAAGTTTGTTTTTTTTTTTCCTTAAAAAGTAGATAACCTTTCTATTTAAAAGCACTTATGACAAGTGGAAATAAATGCACACAGGTAGATTTTCTGCCCAGTATACATACATTTAGTTAAAGTATGCAGAAAATTATCTTCGTTGTGATTTGCATTTGATTTTATTAGTGGCAAACAAGCATGGACAATGAACCCATAAACACCTCAATACATTTCTAATACATGTTGTAAAAACCGGGGCTTGGGTAGATGAGCAGGGATTTGCTAAGCATTTCTGTGAAAAGAAGTCAAAACACATCTGCTGACGGGATTTACTCCTTTGAATTAAGAAAGGGTTAGAACAAACTTTATGGTAAGAGAAAAAAAGCCAGTCACAGAGAACCACATATCGTATGATTCTATTTATAGGAAATGTCCCAGACAGGTAAATTCATAGAGACGGAAACTAGATAAATGGTTGCTCGGAACTGAGAGAAGAACAAGGAATGAATGGGCATGGGAGTTGTCCTTCAGGGCTCCCGCAAACCACATTACCTGTAGGCACCAAGAGGCACTGGAGCTTTCGCAGTGCTGATCACCTTTCTGACCAGGGACGACATGGTTAATCCCGTCTCTCGCAGGCGCTCGGGAAAAAGAAGGCTTACGGGCCTCTCATCATACAGACACCCCACGCCCCGTTTCCGCCCGAGGCGTCCACCATGCTCGCGAGGCATGCTGGAAGTTGTAGTCTGCGCACGACTCCCGGCCACGTGCAGGAAACGTCGGATTGGCGCATGCGCTCTTCAGCTTACTCGCCGCGCTGTGCGCCTCCGCGCGTTGCAGAGACTTGTCATCCCGACCCTGGGAATCCTCAGAACGTCTGCAGGTAGGTCTTGAGGCGCTGGTGCGAGGGAGTGTGTGTGGTGGCCTCCTCCCCGGACGCTCAAGCCCCGGCCCTGCTTCCTTGCGCATCTTCTGTCCCTTAAACTGCTGGCCGCTGGTTTCTTGCCTGCAGCCGGGGGCCTCTCTTCCAGGTCCAGAACCTTCTGTCGGGTGCACTCCTGCCTGCAGTCATTTCCCCGCAGTGACCTGCCCGCGGAAGCCATCCTGGGAATGGATAGTATTCTATCCCTCTACCACCTTAAAGATACGAGCTGGGTCATTAGGGAGACCACGCAGAGACAGGGCGTTGTCTGCCTTCCCGCCCGTCCAGTGCTTCCCGGGCTGCTTCTCCTCGGATCTGAACCGAGTCCTAGTGACTGGGCTCTGGCAGGTCATGCTGTGTCAGAACCGGTTGGATTGAGCTCTGGATTTCGTAGTCTGTTAATATATACGTTAATATAGGCACGCCTCACTTCTCCATTTATGCGTGCATGTGCACATCAACAATTACATATTAAAGCCCTACGTTGTGCGTGACAGTCTGCTAAATGCTGGGAATGTGACTGAAAAAAGGGCTCCTTCCTGTTTCCAAAATGTACGAGAAGAAAATTTTGATCCCTTTCCATTTTGTCCTACATAGTGCTGAGGTTTTGCTTTGCTATTTCTAGCTCTAGAATCTTTAGTTCTGTTTCATTGGTTTAGGGCTCCAGCCTGGAATAAAAGACCTTCCATTCTGGCCTCCCCTAGCCTGTTTCTTTCATCCTTTTCTACTCTTATTACTTATCCAGAGTCCTCACTACTGTATTCACATCATAGAGTCCTGAATGTTCTCTCCATCCAGATTACAGCTAACTGAAATTCTGTTTTCTTTTTTTTTAATTTTTATTTTATTCATATGGGCATACAATGTTTGGGTCATTTCTCTCCCCTTCCCTCCGCCCCCTCCTTTCCACCCCCTTATCCCTGGCTACCTGGCAGAAACTATTATGCCCTTATCTCTAATTTTGTTGAAGAGAGAGTATAAGCAATAATAGGAAGGAACAAGGGTTTTTGCTAGTTGAGATAAGGATAGCTATATAGGGAGTTGACTCACATTGCTTTCCTGTGCGTGGGTGTTACCTTCTAGGTTAATTCTTTTTGATCTAACCTTTTCTCTAGTTCCTGGTCCCCTTTTCCTATTGGCCTCAGTTGCTTTTAAGGTATCTGCTTTAGTTTCTCTGCGTTAAGGGCAACAAATGCTAGCTAATTTTTTAGGTGTCTTACCTATCCTCACCCCTCCCTTGTGTGCTCTCGCTTTTATCATGTGCTCAAAGTCCAATCCCCTTGTTGTGTTTGCCCTTGATCTAATGTCCACATATGAGGGAGAACATACGATTTTTGGTCTTTTGGGCCAGGCTAACCTCACTCAGAATGATGTTCTCCAATTCCATCCATTTACCAGCGAATGATAACATTTCGTTCTTCTTCATGGCTGCATAAAATTCCATTGTGTATAGATACCACATTTTCTTAATCCATTCGTCGGGGCATCTTGGCTGTTTCCATAACTTGGCTATTGTGAATAGTGCCGCAATAACATGGGTGTGCAGGTGCCTCTGGAGTAACCTGTGTCACAGTCTTTTGGGTATATCCCCAAGAGTGGTATTGCTGGATCAAATGGTAGATCAATGTTTAGCTTTTTAAGTAGCCTCCAAATTTTTTTTCCAGAGTGGTTGTACTAGTTTACATTCCCACCAACAGTGTAAGAGGGTTCCTTTTTCCCGCATCCTCGCCAACACCTGTTGTTCGTGGTGTTGCTAATGATGGCTATTCTAACAGGGGTGAGGTGGAATCTTAGTGTGGTTTTAATTTGCATTTCCTTTATTGCTAGAGATGGTGAGCATTTTTTCATGTGTTTTTTGGCCATTTGAATTTCTTCTTTTGAGAAAGTTCTGTTTAGTTCACTTGCCCATTTCTTTATTGGTTCATTAGTTTTGGGAGAATTTAGTTTTTTTAAGTTCCCTATATATTCTGGTTATCAGTCCTTTGTCTGATGTGTAGCTGGCAAATATTTTCTCCCACTCTGTGGGTGTTCTCTTCAGTTTAGAGACCATTTCTTTTGATGAGCAGAAGCTTTTTAGTTTTATGAGGTCCCATTTATCTATGCTATCTCTTAGTTGCTGTGCTGCTGGGTTTCATTGAGAAAGTTCTTACCTATACCTACTAACTCCAGAGTATTTCCTACTCTTTCCTGTATCAACTTTAGAGTTTGTGGTCTGATATTAAGATCCTTGATCCATTTTGAGTTAATATTGGTATAGGGTGATATACATGGATCTAGTTTCAGTTTTTTGCAGACTGCTAACCAGTTTTCCCAGCAGTTTTTGTTGAAGAGGCTGCTATTTCTCCATCGTATATTTTTAGCTCCTTTGTCAAAGACAAGTTGGTTATAGTTGTGTGGCTTCATATCTGGTCCTCTATTCTGTTCCACTGGTCTTCATGTCTGTTTTTGTGCCAGTACCATGCTGTTTTTATTGTTATTGCTTTGTAATATAGTTTGAAGTCAGGTATTGTGATACCTCCAGCATTGTTCTTTTGACTGAGTATTGCCTTGGCTATTCGTGGCCTCTTGTGTTTCCATATAAATTTAACAGATTTTTCAATCTCTTTAATGAATGTCATTGGAATTTTGATGGGAATTGCATTAAACATGTAGATTACTTTGGGAGTATCGACATTTTTACTATGTTGATTCTACCAATCCATGAGCATGGGAGATCTCTCCACTTTCTATAGTCTTCCTCAATCTCTTTCTTCAGAAGTTATAGTTTTCCTTGTAGAGGTCTTCACATCTTTTGTTAGGTTTACACCTAGGTATTTGATTTTTTTTGAGGCTATTGTAAATGGAATTGTTTTCATATATTCTTTTCATTTGTCATTGTTAGTGTATAGAAATGCTAAATGATTTTTCTTTGTTGATTTTATATCCTGCTACCTTGCTATAGCTATTGATGATGTCTAGAAGCTTCTGAGTAGAGTTTTTTGGGTCTTTAAGGTATAGGATCATGTCTGCAAATAGGGATATTTTGACAGTTTCTTTACCTATTTGTATTCCTTTTATGAAATCCTGTTTTTCTACTGACTTTTCCTCCTGAATATAGATTTTTTTTTTTGCAGTCTCTTACCAGTTTTTTCCAATTTTTTGCGTTACTGCAAAATTTAGTAGGTTCTTTGTGGTTTCTTCTCCAATTGTTTTGTGTTTTTTAAGAACAGTAATAGAGCCAGAGTACCTGGTGTTGACATCCCAAGCTTAGTGGTTTACCTTGGAATGATTGTAACTGCTTTGTGTTTCAGTCTATTGGTTATAAAAGAGATGACACTAATGGTCTCCCTCATAGATGTGAAGAGAATTATAGTGAATAAGGCATGTATTAGTGGCCTGGCACAGAAATGTTCTCAACGTTTTAACTGCTTAAGACTAACTTAATTCTTTAAGAAAAAGGGATCACATCTTTCAAAACTACCCTGAAACTGTTAGAACCACATAAGGTAGGTACCCAAAGCTTGTTAACTTAGTTAAGCTGAATAACTAGGGGTGCTTTTTATTAATAAATAATTCACTACATATTTTTTTTAATAAAAGGCTCTCAGCATTATACTCATTCAACTTGTATAAAATATTTCTTTTGTGAAAATAAGATAACCTTTATTTTTTAAATATTAATTTTTTTTGGCCAGTACTAGGGTTTTGAACTCAGGTGCTTGCCAGGCAGCAATGTACCACTTGAGTCTTGCTACAGCTCTTTTCTGCTTTGTAGGTATTTTTCAGGTAAGTTTCATGTTTTTTTTTGCTCAACTGATCTTTACTTATGCCCTCTACATAGTTAAGCTTATTGTTGATAAAACTTTTTTTGCTGTGCTAGCCCTCCAAACCTCAAATCCTCCTGTTCTCTGCCTCCAAGTAGCTGGGGATAACAGGGTAAAACCCATAAACCATCATTCTGCCCCAAGATACCTTTATTTTTTCTTTTTTTCTGAACGGAGTTTGAACTCAGGGCCTACACCTTGAGTCACTCTAACAGCTCTTTTTTGTGATGGTTTTTTTTTCGAGATAGGGTCTTTCGAACTATTTTTCTTGGCTACTTTGAACTGGTAATCCTCCTCATCTCGCTTCCGGAGTAGCTAGGATCAGGCGTGAAGCTACCAGCGCTCAGCACTTTTAATTCTTAAGAAAGGATTTTTTTTATCCAACGGCTTTTTAGAAATGGAAGAAAATGGGAGACCATCTGGCTAGTTCTTGATTCTCGTGGTAGTCCCTATGCCAAGTAGTCTGTCTGGTCTGCCAGAAGATACTAAACCTTATGAGAAAACTGAAAACATCGTTCTTTTTTAATAAAATAAAGCCTGGTGCTGGGTGCTGGTTGCTCACTCCTGTAATCCTGTCACAGGATTTGCTTGTTTCAAAGGGCCAAACTCGGGCCAAAATAGTTTGAGAGCCCTCAACTCCCAAAATACCACAGCAAAGTGGACTGGAGGTGTTGGCTCAAGTGGTAGAGTGCCTGCTTTGCAAGCTTGAAGCCCTGAGGTTCAAACCTCCAATCCCCACCAGAAAAAAAAAAGAAAGCCCTGGCATCTATTTAGCACTCTAAAGTTTTGAACTGATTCTTGAAATACAAAGACAAAAAAGGAAATAAGTAAAATAGGAAACAAGCAATGATTAATTAGGAATTAGACGTAAAATTGAACTTGAATATTATGTGTTAAGAATCCCTTCCTAGAAACTTTAAGTGAACTCACTCATAAAGGCACATATTTTCTTCATCATATCCTATTCTGCCTTGTTGAACTGGTT